ATTTTTTTTTTATCTTTATGCATAAAGCTCTAGATGACGTTAAAAATTGACATTACTTGACTATTGAAGTGATATTACAATGAAAACTTGATTATCTTCTTGTAAAACTGGAAAAAAGTTTTTATGATACTGTTATTTTTATTCATCTCAAGAAATGAATTAATACCCTGAATTTAATAATATTGTGTTCATGCTTGGCAGGCTTTTTGCCTGCCCTGTGGTAATGTTAGCATTTGTAGATCTATCTCCATAATAGAAGCAGGAGTTAGAAAAACGGTATTCTGTCCCAAATGAAGCATCACTTCATAAATTAAAGTTTCTTGAATATTTGAGCCAATCACAATACATTTTTTAAAGATTCATTTTCCATTACCTTAAGGATTTTCATATTGAAATATTTTTTCATTTGCTTTGTTTCTTTCTTTCTGAAGGAAAATTTCCTTTTTGCTGTTAAAATTTACCAGAATTCTAAGAAAACTAGAAAACTTATTTCACTTTTGATTATCCAAATAATCATGATGCCTTGCCTCCCTTTAAATAAATGGATGGTTCAGATTTTGAAAATTGTTTTTTAAATATATAGACTTTCATTATTTGAATTTTGCTAGCCATTTCTTAGCTAACAATTTTTTCAAAAATACAGAAACATATAGAGGGCAATATAAGAAACCCCCATTACCCTCCCACCCCAGAATTTATCTCTTAGCTTTTAGTCAGCTCATAATTGATGCATTTTTGAATAGCTTCACATTTGTATTATGATTATAAACAATACAACTAAGAATCTAAATACAGAATTTTAATATTTATCTTTCTGAGGAAAATTTTCCCTGGACAGCTTGGCTTATGTTTTAATAGTATACCTTTAAAAACTTGTAAGAAGGGAAAATATAGATGTATTTGGTCTTTTTATACATTTTGAAAGATTTATTTTTATGCATTCAATGCAGTATTTATTTAAATAGCCTTTAATACTGACAGCCACCAAACTTATATGCCTCACAGTGCAGCATATTCAAATGATTTTTAGCAGAATATCATGGGGAAAAAATAAGCATTTTCTTATTGTTTCACCTGTACCACCTCCTTAAATATATATTAGGAAGATACGTAATATATCCCATAGCATACTGGCATGATGTAGAAGTACAAGGGACTACATTTACAAATATTTTAATTTTGTTTTATTATTTTATTTTGTTTCTTGAACAATTTTAAATGCATAATGTAAATTGGAGAACTGCAGTTCTAAAAAGCAAAATACAATATAGGATTCAACTGCATCTTCACTTTCCTTTATGCCTTAAATGCTGTACACAGACATTTCTGGTGCATAATGAGAACAAAGGAGTTGAAAGCCTTCACTTAGAAAGCCTCCCTTTTTTTCTTAGTTGCCACCATAATTCTGTGTATTGTTTCAGACTATCTAGACCAAAAACAGTTAGAAATTCAGCAACAGAAAATATTTAGAGGTTACTTTTAAAAAATAACTAAATGTTTAATTAAATTGTTCTGCATTTTGCAACCAGTTCTTTTGAAAAGCAATTCCATATTTTGTTTCTTCTAAATCTGTTAATTGAAAAATATAATGGTGTTCTAGACAGAATACATTTTATTAGCTTTTGTAATCATTCCTTCCCCCTCATATTAATTTTATATAGTTATCTTAACAAATGTTATATAGTTTTATTAAAAAGGGAGAAATTCCACTTACATTTTAAAATGTTTATTGAATAGTCTAGTATTTTATATTACATCTAGCTATATATATACTGCAAAACCAATTTGTAAGATCAACTACCAGTTGTGGTAATTTTTGTGATTTTTAATTTAGCTTCTTTGGACTGAAAGTTTTGTATTATTAGTGATAGCAAACAAGGAAAACAATTTTAATTCCTTTTAGAAAATACCCTTATGTTATAACTTAAGTGACTCTTTGAAAATTGTCTTTAGGAAATTCCCCATATTCCCTTCCTTGGGAATAGAGAGGGTTATTTCAAATATTGTCTCTTATAATTATGTTAAAATGAAATGTTGACTTCCTTGGAGCACCTTGCAAGACTTGATAGAGAAGTAGATGTGTTATGAAGGGTTTCTCCAACCCATGTTTTTGTATTTTGAACAAAGGCAGGAAAGTAATCTGGGAATAATGTGAATGATGCAAAAATATAACCTGGAATATGCAGTATGTCATTTATTTGGCCTGGCCAATAGCCTTTCACTGGCTTTTTCCCCCCCTTAGTTATCTGTACTAACTGGCTATTTTGGTGAATTGTATAACAAACGCCAGGAAAATTACACTTCATTCTTTATATTCTTCCAGAAAAATCCAATAATGTGTATAGCATATTTACAGGTAGCATGCACATTTTCTTCTTTGGCATATGGCAACATATTCCTTATATGAAGTTGTGTGTACATGTTAGAAGATGGGCTTATGATAAACTGTGTCCCTATCTAACTTTTTGAATCACCACCCCCCTGCCTCAAAGGCTTGTATCATTTTTTAGTTTTATTGAGAGAAGTGAAAGGTGGACAGCAGTCTACTTCATGACCAGGGAGTTTTTAGTAGCAACTTGTAGCTCATGACATGAACAATTTCAGGCCAAAGAAATATTTCATTGAATACATGTTTAGAATATTCAGCACTCTGTCTTTTGAATGTGCTTTTTGCCTAATGAGTAGATTTTTCCAAGGTGAATTTCATCTGTAAAGCAAGGATTTTCTTACCTCTGAGACATCGCGCATGATATTATAGTTATGGTTTTGAAACATAGCTATGGTTTCCCATATGAATACCATCCTAAATTCCGTTAAATTGAAAGAAGGGGGCTAGCTATTCAGATACATATTTTTATAATCATAACTATAGTCAAATCCTTTATCTGCCTCTCCTGCAATGATAAAAATCAAGCATTATTAGAAAAGGCCCAAAAGTCAGGAGTCTTTCTGAGTGCAACAAAGAGAGCCAGGAGAAGGAACTCAAATAATACTGATCACCTGCTATGTGTCAGGCTAAATATAAGACACTTTCTGTATTAGCTCATTTAATTATTTGATGGCCTGTAATTTACTCAAGAAAATAGAACTTTGCAAAAATGCACAGAAGACATTTTGAACATTATTGCAGATGTCTCTGTGAATATTCTTAGAAAGTTTCCAATTTTATATTTTTACAGTGGGTCATAATATATAATGCTAAAGGAACATAAACAGCAACCCATGTTTTGTATACTACATGATACCAATTGAAAAAAATACATGTATATATAACGTATGTAGAAAAAAATGGCATAGAAGGAAATTTAGCTAATTATCTATGGTTATCTCTGAGCAGTAGAAATTTATATGATTATTTTCTGTATGGTTTTCTAGATTTTCTATAGCACATGTGCATTTTATAATTAGAAGCTATAAAAATATATGAACAAAGGAAGTGAATTTTGTGTTCCTGAGTTTGAGAATAAACTCCCTAGACCAGTAAATTGACAAGCAGAATTTGTATTGGTCATGCCATTTTTTTGTTTTTGACTGCAGTAGAATGCAGGTATGCATTTTTTATATCCAACAGTCTATTGAAATTTTTATAGGGGTCTTCCTCTGTGCTTTGTAGTAATAGTTAATTTCTTATACCTAATCTAGATGGTCAATAAGATTGACTCTGGAAGTGATTTAGCAAACTATTGAGTATGCTGTCTTGGTATGAATTATGCAGAGAAGCAAGATCTAAAAAAAAAATTCTAAATAAATCAAATACTGCGTAAGAATTACATTTTAGGAATTACTAAAAGATAAACCCCACTGTTTACCTCCAGACTTAAATGAGAATTTATGGTGAAATTCAAAATTTTAAAGGCTACTAAAGATTAGAAGAAATGTGTTTGACATTTTTTGATCAAGTGTCTAATAGCAGTTATTTTATATATAGAAAAATGTATTGTTTCTGTATGTTAAGAGAAATACAAAAAGCATATTAAAGGGCCTAGTTGGGCTGTTTTTAGGGTCAGAGGAAGATGCATTAAGAGCAGCTGATGGGTGGGGAAGCATAAAATCTTTGAGAATTGTGGATATTAGTAATGCCATGTAGTGGTGGTAGGTTAATTCCAGTGTTTCTTTGAATAAAATAGGCACCACGGCATCAGTAAGATAAATTGTGAAGTAAAAAAGCACAGTATTAAAAATTAACTTGTTTTCTATTCAGTGGGTTGGGTTGGTAAATTCTGTGGATGCTGAGAATCAATAAAAAATTGTATATTCCCTACTTGAAAAACTTTTAAAATGAAACATTATATGGTATTTATTCAAATGCTATATATATAATGAACTATGTAATGCAATACAATATGGATTTTATTTCTCCATTCTAGAAGAGTACTCAAATAAGTCAGTTTTGCTTTGGAGTACAAGATTAGATTTTAACCTTAATCAGTCTGTATATACATTTGTACAAATGATAAATTAATTGATAAAAGTATACCATATTTTATGTGGTAATTTTTATGTACCTATAAATTAGTTTTTCCCTTATCTAAATACTTTTCAAATTTTTTATTCCCTTTTCTACCCCTTGATTCCCCTGATTTCCCCCTTAGTCCTTGAGTGTCAAAATCTGTGCTGTCCAATATGGTAGCCACTTGCCACATGTGACTATTTAAGAGTCTCATGCTCTACTGACTGAACTAGCTGGGCGGTCATACACATGTGACTATTTAAATTGAAAATAATTACAATTAAATAAAATTAAAAATTCAGTTTCTCATTCATACTAGCCACATTATAAGTTCTTAATAGCAACATGTGGCTACTGTACTATAGTGGGCAGCATAGATTATGGTATTTTTCCATCATTGCAGAAAGTTCATCTGGATGACACTGATCTAAATTGTCAGGACAATTTGAAAAATTCTTTGGGTATATCTTCCTGTGTCTCAGAGTATGCTTATGTTATTTCTCTTAAATTTTCCTCTTCTGTTATTTCATTTTACCTTTCTGTTTTTCAGTTTAAAAGGATGCTTAATCGGGAACTCACCCATCTCTCTGAAATGAGTCGGTCTGGAAATCAAGTGTCAGAGTATATATCAAACACATTCTTAGGTGAGGATAATAATATGCAATTTAACATTTTTCTTTTGAGTTATTTACTTATTTGTTTTTGGAGGGGGATTGCTATGCCAGCTCATTTCGGAAGCCAAACCAGTATTAGAAATTATATTTGTTTTTATTATATTAATATTATAATTTGATACTAGAAGCTTTAGAAACTAAAGTGACAAAGTATGTTTTTATCTTTTGGTTTTATTTAGGACTTTAGGGGATTCTCAGAACTCGAGTTGTACATTACATTTTTTTCATAGTACCAAGCTGTGTTTTTATTTTTTACTTTTTTTTGAGACGGAGTCTTGCTCTGTTGACCTGGGTGGAGTGCAGTGGCATCTCGTAGCTCACTGCAACCTCAAACTCCTGGACTCAAGAGATCCTCCTGCCTCAGCCTCCCGAGTAGCTGGGACTACAGGGTGTGCCTTGATGCCTGGCTAATTTTCCAATATTTTGTAGAGACAGGACCTTGCTCTTATTCAGGCTTATTTCAAACTCCTGAGCTGAAGCAGTCCTCCCTCCTCGGCCTCCCAGAGTGCTAGGATTACAGCACTCAGCTGAGCCACTACACCCAGTCAACAGCACTAAACTGTAAAATAAATTTTACAGAAAGATCTGTTCATGTATTCAGCAAATTCTTGTTAAATGCCAGCCATTGCTGGATAATAGGTATTTAACAATACATTAGAAATGGCTCCTTAGTCTAATAGACACTAAGCCTGGTAAACTGTTGGGCAGATACAATACAATTGCTAAAGAAAAGTTTGCTGATAATAGCTGCAAGTGTGGTTATCTTGGGACAACCCCTCTACCCCGTCCACAGAAAGAAATTGCAATAAGGAAAAGTCAGTAATTTGAACATATCCTTGATTTGGATTTACTTTCCAAACAACAGTGTCATGATATCTAATTAGCATATTTATTAAACATTTATCAAACACATACTATGTGTGAGGATGTGTTAGGGCTGCTCACTGCCTTGAAATAGTAGATGAATGTACCAAGACATCTTAAGCCTTTTACCTCAGAAGACAACAGTTAGCATATGTGCATATTCACTATCCTTGAGATTCTCTCTTACTCATAAAACCTGGTTATATCATAACCCTTATCTTGCTGTAATATAGAAATAAAAAGTAGTAGAATTAATCGAAGTCATTTAAAGATGTTGTTTTGGATCCCACAGTATGACCCATTTCAGTTAGCTGTTAGGGTTTTATGACATTTTTGTCTGAAGTTTCAACCATTTCAAAGTACATGTTAACACCGGAGGCCTTAGTTGGCAAGAGCAGTTTTCAAGCCACTAAGTGAATTTCAAATGGGAATGGAATTGATAAACAGTTGAAATAACCACCTGTTTTGTTTTCGCTGAGTCTGTTTTCACAGTAAGTGTTGCAAAATTTTTTATTAGGACATTCTATCAAGGAGATAACCACTGAATATATTTGTTATTACATGTTCTTTAGTGGAATTTATTTGCTTAATTTTGTGTTTAAAGATAGAAAATTAAGTCCACATCAAATTGAAACAATTTTCTAAAAGCAAAAGTTTTACTTGGAAACATTTCCTGAAATATATTATAATCAATTGCCATCCAAACTGTTATGCATGTTATAGTTTTAAAAAAGATAGAATTATTAATAAATGTACAACATTTTTAAATTTCTCAAGATAAGCAACATGAAGTGGAAATTCCTTGTCCAACTCAGAAGGAAAAGGAGAAAAAGAAAAGGCCAATGTCTCAGATCAGTGGAGTCAAGAAACTGATGCACAGCTCTAGTCTGACTAATTCAAGTATCCCAAGGTTTGGAGTTAAAACTGAACAAGAAGATGTCCTTGCCAAGGTATGATTTCAGAGATCACGATCATAAATAAGCAATGATATCTTTTCATGAGTTTTGTTCCTTCTCTCTTAAATAGATGGTAAAGTTTATTAATTTGTGGGGTTTTTTTGAAGATGGAAAAATACTTCATAAAGCTCTTTCCTAAAGTATTTAGATTTTAGTAATATATAGATTTAGGCAAATGATTTGGTATGTATATTCTTTTTTGCATCTTCATTTGATTGCCTTAAATAGTTAGAAATCTATTATGTCTTCGAGGTTTTAGGAATCTAGTTAAGATTTCATGCATAGATTTTAGCCATTCAAGAAAAGCTTTGAGATTATTATTCAAAATATATAAATATGTTATATTGTCAAAGTCATAAGATTAAGCAAATACTATTCTGTTTTCAGTACATTTATGTGAATTTGCCTAAAGTTTGCCTATTCTTACATGGTGCATCCATTCATTTAAAATGAATCATTGTTTAAAAAAAATCTAACCATCTTTACATTCAAATCAGTAGTCTTTAAACAATTGTATTTGTTGAGTCATATTTACTTCCACTTTCTAATGTTTTGGTATTATTTTTTTAATCCCAGGAACTGGAGGATGTGAACAAATGGGGTCTTCATGTTTTCAGAATAGCAGAGTTGTCTGGTAACCGGCCTCTGACTGTTATCATGCACACCATTTTTCAGGTAATGTGGTTGAGTTCTAACACATTTCTTTTATTCAGGAACTTAATATACAGTCTGTGGATTGTGCATGCCTCTTGTCTTCCTTACTACTCATCTTCTTTTGCTTACTTTGATACTTTTTTCCTTACTTACTCCTTTGCCAAGGGACAAATAAAGACACAGAAAGGTGGTATGTGGGTAAAACACAAATCAATTTTGCTATTTTTTTGCACTGAAGAAAAAGATGTGATGTGGGGGAAATTGAAAGAATTCATTAAAATAATAGTTAAAAAATCATCTTCATGCCACTGACTTCCATAGAAAATGGAATACTAACTTTAAAAAATGAATAAGCCCCCTGCTGCCTTACCTTAGACTTTAGTCACTTTCTTGTGTTGTGCTGTCTTCTCTATATCCTTTTCTCACCCTTGTTGAACCTTTGCCCCAACTCAGGGTGGGATTTAAATGAGAAGTTGAGGCTGTTGCAGAGACCTTGGGACTAGAATGGGAAACTCCGACCCCAGAGAGAATGTCGAGTTTCAGTCGGTGTGGTCCAGTGGCTGAGTCACTGACACTTGGTGGAAGCTGCCTTCATGATGGTGGGACACAGGAGCTTTTATAGTCGGCAGCTCATTCCTGCACCACACAGTGTGGGTATAGCCCTGTTGGGCTCAAGGAGGACAGAGGACAACCCAACTCTGGTTTTGTTCCTCAGTCCCTGGATCGTCCCAAAGGCTTCCGTTTCCCTCACTAGACATGTGAGAGTGCAGTTGCCATTTCTGGGTTAACCTTTGACTACACTGATGTGTGATTCTTTTTTAACACTATGGAAAATGTTTTTATATAAGAGGATTTCTTTTCCTACAGGAACGGGATTTATTAAAAACATTTAAAATTCCAGTAGATACTTTAATTACGTATCTTATGACTCTCGAAGACCATTACCATGCTGATGTGGCCTATCACAACAATATCCATGCTGCAGATGTTGTCCAGTCTACTCATGTGCTGTTATCTACACCTGCTTTGGAGGTAAATCTGTTTTCTGAAATTTCAAGAACACTTACCTTTCCACTCATAAAGGCTCTTAAACTTTTATACTGAAGGGCTCACAGTGAAGAAAATAATTGGCTTTATTGGAAGTATATGGGCTGACAGGAGAAAAAACTGTTGTTATAGTTAATGAACAGTGAAGCCTTAGATGAATTTTGCCTGTGGAAAGTTGTTCAAAGATTAGTGATTCATCTGTTTCTGATATTGCTTCTTTGAAATTATCCAGTGAACATTTATAAAGCACATCTGGCTTATTCACTTTTGGTTAGTTTGTTTTCTTGAAATGCAGTCTGATGACTTTTGCAGTTATAGGTCAAAGGATGACTATTTTATAAAATATAAGCAAATATATTGATTTTTTTCATAGAATTTTTTAGGAGGAAACACTTCTCTAATTTTTCCAAATCCTAAGGAGTTGTTTCATTAAGTGTTTACTAAAGCAATTTGATTTCCTTAATTATTTGGGGGAAAGAAAGGCTAATATATTTTGTAGTTCAGATTGTTTTCATTATAAAACTGTGTCAATGCCTCATCATTTGGGCGAGTGGTTCTCAATTGAAAAGGATTTATCCCCCCTTCTCCCCACCCCATTCCCCAGGGACATTTGGCAATGTCTAGAGACATTTTTAGTTGTCACAACTATTACATTTTTAGTTATACATGATACTGGCATCTTGTAGATAAAGGCCAGGAATCCTGATAAAAATCTTACACTGTATGGGACAGCCTCCCACCCAAGAGTTATCTAACCCAAGATGTGCTGAACTTGAGAAACCCTGGTTTAGATAAAAGAAAAGGAAATAATTACTCATATCTTATTAATTTTATGTACATTTTAGAATATTCTTAAACATCTTAAATACTTATAAAATAAGATATTATTTTCTTTAAAAAATGATTTCAGACAGCTTTTATAATGTTTTATAAAATATTATGAATGGACAAGGTTTGCTCATGAGATATAATAAAATCAGATAAAATATTTTCTTCCAGGATTACACTTAAAAAGTTTATGAATATCTCATTATCTAAAAGATTCTTTCTGATACATTGTGATAAGATATTTTGAAGCTTTATTTTGTTTTCCACCTAAATTCTAGGAAGTTACTTCTCATTTGTTTGTACTTTTAATTCATGTAGTTATAGAATAATCATGTTATCTATATGTTCTGATTTTTCCAGGCTGTGTTTACAGATTTAGAGATTCTTGCAGCAATTTTTGCCAGTGCAATACATGATGTAGATCATCCTGGTGTGTCAAATCAATTTCTGATCAATACAAGTAAGTTAACTTTATTTGTTTTTGCAGAACACATTTTTCCTTTGTACGTTTTAGAATGACTGAGGGACTTTGTAAGCTCAGGTATTTCCAGAACCATAATGTCCTTTTGAGATGTGTAAATATGTGTTTTAGTGATAGTGTATATTAATGTAACTTAGCCCTGAACATTTGTTATTATATTTGTTGAGGTATATGATGTTTGAAAAACATGTGTTCCAGTACTTCTATTAAAAAAAAAAATTGCCATGTCACTGGGCAAGTGAAAGTGTGCAGAAAGATTTAGATAGCTGTAATGCCCCTAAAGTTTTCAATAAAAAAAAGAAAACATTATGAGAATTAATGTTAAACCTTCCTTACTTTATGTAGGTTGTCATTTAATCCTCTTTAGAGGTCATAGCTCCATTCTCCTCAGTCACCATGCCCAGCCCTGTTCTTTTCTTTTTAAATCTCCTAATGAGGCTAGCAGGAATTCTATCTTAATTCAATATTTTTTTAACCATTAAATTTTTTCTCATTGGTGACAACTCACCATATAAAAAGTCATCACTGAATTTGGAAATGTAAGGAATGGTATTGACTATTTAATATTGAATGTCTCTGACACACAGCTGCACAGAAATCCTCTGTAGGGAATGTTTAGGTAATGCCTGAGCTATACCTTTATAGAGAGGTTTAGGTTAACAAAAGTTCTGTTTGTTACTTGAAGTTAACTGGTAAATGATTTAAATGAACTATGACTTCATTCTCTCTCCCTGTGGTAGATTAATGTAAATTCACTTTTATATATGAAAAAATAAAATGCAGAGTTGGTGAAAATGTTGGGTTTTTTTTTTTCATGCTTGTTAAGAATCTGCCTTTTTTTTCCTGCTTGAGTCTGGATAGCAGTCTTCTCATGCCCTGTAGCAGCCTAGCTGTAGAATTATCTATGAATTCACCATTCATTCCCTATACTTTGCTATGACCAGATTTAAAGAAAGAATGTAAATGTGACTTTGCTTTGAGAAATGAACTCAGACCTTTAGGATTATTTAGATCTATTTTTATATCTTTTAATAGCCTCTGCACTACCCTATAGCAAAATGCACACTAGTGACTAACCCAAGTAGAGGAGGATTGGAAAAGCCAGGATTTCCTGAGATGTGTGGTTAGTCTGATACCTTTTAGAAGTTTAGTTTAGGAACTTATTTTATCCATATTAGACAGGATAACATTTCATGTTCCAACCACCCTGTGAGGACCTATAGTGGGGCACTTTAAGGACACATCAAAGCATACATATAAATATTAACACACATTGGATGCCACTTCTGGGTTGTGTCAGTGGTGAGGTTTGTCTGTCCTTTCTGACAAGAGCAGGGAAATCATACAGGACAATGAACACTGGTACTTTTCATGAGCCTGGCCTGATTTACTATTTTAATGCCTATGCGTGCCTTTATATGTTCCTAATTTTATAGATTTCTAACAAATACATAAAGTGTATGTCTTAATCCAACTTTTGCCTTTAAGAAACATTTTTTTTCCTTGGTAACACCAAACAGACTAGTATGTTTTCTTTGCATTCTATTATATGCCATATTGTATGTTCCCTTATTATAGCATTAGAATTAAGGATAGATTAGAGAACAAATTAAAACAACTGATAGTAAAGTCACTGTCTTCCAAGTACTCTGATAAACTTTTTTAAAGGATAGTGAGGACCCGCTCTGTTCTTCTTTCTTGTGAATCCTCTAGGCTTAGGCTAGCACCTGGAGGTACATCTGGGTCCCTGTGGAGTATGTCATTTAAGCCAGCAAGGCCTCAGTCCACAGATGAATCTGATGCCCTCTGACGTTTGAGAGCCACTGAAATAGTGGAGAAATTTGGGGGATGATTATGAAAACAAGAAGAGTGGCCAAGGATGTCTGTTTAAGGTCGTTTTGCTGGTGACATGCCTGGGGTAGAAGGAGAGCTAATCTTGCTTCTGAAAGGTCTTTGTTATTTTCGTGGTGTTATGATGATCTCCTCTCTGTGGGACCAGAGCAACACAGGGAAGTTCAGTTTCCAGAGCGGCTTTTGGTTACTACTGGTTTTTTGAGGGTGGGGTGTAATGAGGCTGTTATTCCTGAGAGAATGAATCAGCGGTGTCATTTGGTACATGAAAGTATCCCAAGGCTGGTCAGAGCCCCCCGGCATAATTAGAATTACTGCCTTAGTTAGCTTTTGACTAGGGATCCTGAGAGCTAGAATGTTTTTTTCAGGACCCAGAAGAGCCTGAGCAGCCAGTAATAACTTTTATCAGCCACAAATAACTTTTATCTTCACAGCAAGCAATAAACAAGGCCTTCTGATAACTTGTAAATTTGTAATAAGACAGTCTGTTAATACTCTATCAAAGTTATATGTTTATTTTTAGTTTACAGTAAGCCCTTTTTAAAAATAGACTTAAGTATAATTTCTCTAACTTTCACGGATGAATTGAAAAATCCATGAGTCGAACCAGTGTACTCTTCAGCTCTTGCCATGGAGCTGGAGCTGCCAACCTGTCCCAAACCAAAAGCTGAATCTATATTTCTTGTAACAAAGAATTCTCAAGAATTCTAATCATCAAATTGATAAGCCAATACATGGGAGGTTACCTGTCATCTTAAGGAGGCTACCAAGGCACTGCAAGGTTTGGGGTCGTGTCCTGGGTTAAGTGGCTGATACAGAGGGGGTGCCAGGGGCTCACCAGGCTGGTTCCCAGTCCAGTTATGCCCCTGCTTGTATCATAGTTCTTGTTAATTGTTTCACTTGCGTTAATTTTAGGTGCCAAATGATTCGATACTAATTTTATTTACATTCCTTATTAGTATGCTAGAAGTTATGAAAGCAAAGAGATCATTTCTACTTGATAGAGTTGGTTAAGCTTTAATAAATGATTTGGGAGTGAGGGGGAATATGAACAAGATTTAGAGAAACTGAAGTTCCAGATAGGAGGCTACCTAAGTCTTTTTTAAGCATATTAATAAATCCATAAAATATAAATAGCATTGTAAAGTTTTGAATATATAACATGCTGGAGTTCACTTAACTTCACAGCTTTATTTTCTAAAAAAATAAAGCAATGTCAAAAGTACAAAATATATATAGCATTAAATTTTACCTGGAAAACAAATCATCTTTTTTGGTGGCAAACATGCCTAAGTTTGGGGGGAAAAGATTTATTCATATGGTCATATGCATTTAATCTATTCCTGAAAGTGCTCTTTGTCAAACAGATAAGTAGAAATGTATATGGAATTTACTTTTTTTATATATTGAAGTGTGGTAAATTTGAAGTTTGACCCGATGTTTGTCTTATTATAGAGCACATATCATTTTTTCAGCTTTAAAACTTTAAAAAAATATCTTCTTAATTAAACTTTTATAAAATGAATATGTTCATTGTAAAATGAAATAGAAACAATATGGAAAATAAAGAAGAAAAGTTACCTAAAAATTTTCCCTCAAAGGTAACAATTGTGGTGAATATCATTTCAGACTTATCTCTAGGCACCTGTACATACATAAGCATGCAATTTTAGATATATTTTTAAAAATCATACTTTAGTTCCCAATGCAAAGAAATGATAAGTGTTTGGATATTCCATTGACTCTGATTTGATCATTATACATTATATGCATGTATCAACATATCACAGGAACCCCATAAATATGTATACCTATTATGTATCAGTTTAAAAAATCATACTGTAGATGTTTTCTTATGACGTTTTTGTATATTCAGTAACCTGTTTTGGATGTGTTCCCTATTAAAGATAATTCAGGTAACTTGTCCACTGTTAGTAGATATTAAGTTGCCCCTTTTCTTTTGCTTATATTGCTTTAAACTTGTATGATAATCTTAGAGTTTAATTTTTTCTTTTACTTTTTTTTTTTTGGACAGTTCACTGTGTTGCCAGTGCTAGATGCCATGGTGGCGGCCTAGCTCACAGCAACTTCAAACTCTTAGGCTCAGGTGAGCCTTCTGCTCTAGCCTCTCAAGTAGCTCGGACTACAGGCATGCGCCACCATGCCTGGCTAATTTTTTCTATATATTTTTAGTTGGCCAATTAATTTCTTTCTTTAGTAGAACAGGCCTCACTCTTGCTCAGATGTTTCGAACTCCTGACCTTGAGTGATCCTCCGCCTCAGCCTCCCAGAGTGCTAGGATTACAGGGTGAGCCACTGCTCCTGGCCAATTTTTTCTTTACTTTTGATACATGTTGCTTCAGTGGGCCTCCAGAAAGCTTATAACCAATTTACATTTTCACCAACAATATGCCCTCCCCACACTCTTGACCAGCTCTGGGTCTTGTCAGGCTTTTAAACATTAAGATTTTAAATTTGGTTGTTAAAAATTTTGAATTTGTTATTTTTCAGGGCTCTTTCCATTACTCTTCTATTAATGTATAAGTATCCTTTGATAATAAGCAATTTAAAATTTTTTAAAAATCTACTTAATAATATAATCAACAAGTATCTATTATTACCCACCACTTGCCCTCAGTGTATGAGATACTGCAGGAGCATTAAAGTCAGGAGAAAGCAGTTCTTTGCGCTCCAGGGGCTTAGTGACTAAGAGGGTGCTGTGGTTACTTTTATATGTCAACTTGACTGGGTTAAGGGATGCCCAGATTGCTGATAAAACATTAATCTGGGTGTTTCTGTGAGGGTATATCTGGAAGAAATTTGCCTTTGAATCAGTAGACTAGTAAAGAAGATTGCTTCATTAGTGTTTGGAGGCATTATCTAATACAAGAGGCCCCAAATAGTAGATAGAACACAAAATGGGAGGAGTAGAAAAGTCTCTCTCTCTGTTTAAGCTGGGATATCATCTCCTGCCCTCATGCATCAGTGCTGCTGGTTCTTGGGCTTCAGAGTGGGTCTGAATTACACCACTGGCTTTCTTGGTTCTTAAGCTTACACACTGTAGATCAGGGGTCCTCAAACTTTTTAAACAGGGGCCAGTTCACTGCCCTCAGACCACTGGAGAGCCG